TGGGAAAACACAATGATGGTGGTAACCAGGGAAGATGGGACCCAGGAGGGGACTGTGAAGTCAGACCCCATGAACTCCCCAAAGAATGCCCCTCCTTTTGGAAGTAACAGTGGTTCTGGATCCAGGGACATCAACAGTTGCAAGCTGATATTAAGAGTTGCCTATTGGATGTTCTGAGGGACATGTGATGTGAAGCCAAATGAATGAAGTTAGGAAGTCACATGACAGGTTGATGGATACTTTGTTTCATCACCTTGTAGAATTTCTTCCTTTTGAACATCACCTTCACTGGGTGTTAGCTCATCACTTAGGGGTCGGGATGAGGAGGCTGTTACAGGCCCATCTCCGCTCTTGGTCCTGAAGGGAATCCCGTGTGTGAGACAGTATACCAAGTATGCAGGGACAGGGAGGATGACAATGGCAAAAATGGTGAGCATCAAGAGCAGTATCCATATTGGGTATTGTTGAAGCACCTCTTTTGACTGCGGAGAGATGGAGAAAAAGGTTCAGAATATCAAAGTCTCAAAGAGAAGAGGAAGAGTTGTGAAGGGGAAGGGCGGGTGGGGAACCAAGGCAGAATGAGTCTTCAGGCAGGAAGAGAATGAGCTGACTGGGCTCTTTCACCATAAGTGAGTTGAAAGGTCTGGCCCCCACTCCCAAAGGGGTTCTGGGTCCCAGGGGAAGCTCACAGTGCTCGAGTCCCAGGACACATAGGTGATGGGCTGCTTACAGAGATCAACCGTCATGGTCACAAACAGGATTAGCAGCGCAACTGGACACACACAGAGCCACAGCCAACCACAGATGGGAGAGACGGGGTAGCCCAACAGGGTCATCAGGTCTGCGAGAAACCTGGGGAAGGGCCACCAGATTGTGGGATGCCCAGTCAGGCCTTACCACCTTGGAGGCAGGGCCAGCCCAACCTTGGCATCTTTCAAACATTCTGTTGTATCTATAATCTCCTGTTTCATCGAAAGTCTCATCCTCTCTCTTCTCCCTAGTCAGTCTGTCTTTATTCCAATCCAAGAAAATTTTTCAAACACCCCTCTCCTGCTCAAGAACCTTCCATGGGTATCCAATGCCCTCAGGAGAAAGGCCAAATCTCTTTCCTTCGTCCTATAAATATAAGAATGTCACTGGGTGTGGTGGCTCACGCCTGTAATCCCAGGCCGAGGTGGGTGGATCACCTGAAATCAGGAGTTGAAGACCACCCTGACCCACATGGAGAAATCCTTCATGGCCTGGCCCCCATTACTTCTCTAGGATCACCTCCTAATGTCTTCTATTCCAGCCACTCTGACTTCCTTGTTTCTCAAAAACGCCAAGCATTATGCTTCCTCTGTTTTCTGTTTCCGTGCAGGGAGCACTCTGCCTCAAAATCTTGTCATGACTCCCTCCCTCCTGTCATTCAGGAGTCTGCTCACATGTCACCTTACCGGAAAGGCCCTCCTTGAAGTTCTGTCTGGATTGGTGCCCACACACACTCCCACTGTGGGCCATCTGACCTCACCCTTCGATTTTTCCCATCAATTATATTTATTCTCAACGTTTTTATTCTTTCTTTGCTAATTTGGTTATTGTCTCTCTAGACCACTAGAATGTAAGCTTTCTGCAAACAGGAATACTTTTTTTATTCATTGTCCCTATCCCTGATGACATATATGCAGCACCCAAGATACATGTGAAGATGGATGAATGAATAAAAAGATTTCCCAGAAGGCCCTGAAATTAAGAGCCCCTATGTCACACTAGTGGGATTTAGTCCCATGCTTCTTAGGACATCACCTCCTGGCCCCATAGGCCCAGGATACAGCCATGGTTTCCAATGTGACGATGACAATGATGGGGAAGACTATCCAGTGTTCAGACAGCAGTCTGATGAAGTAGATCCCTGAAGGTCGAATGAAGAAGTGGCCACACATAAACATGAGCGTCGAGAGTCCCACTGGAGAAAACGTTAGATCTGGGTCAAGGTTAGAAGTCAGGCTGAGTGACAAGGGCTAGGTAGAGGTCACAGCCAGGCGTGGCGGCTGACATCTGTAATCCCAGCATTTTGGGAAGCCGAAGTGGGCAGATCACTTAAACCTAGGAGTCTGAGACCAGCCTGGGCAACATGGCAAAAGCCCATCTCTACAAAAACTACAGAACTTAGCTGGGCATGGTGGTACATGCCTATGGTCCCAACTACTCAGGAGGCTGAGGTGGGAGGATCACTTGAACCCAGGAGGCACACACTGCAGTAAGCCGAGATCATACCACTGCACTCCAGCCTGGGCTACAGAGATCCTGTCTCGAAAAAAAAAAAAAAAAAGTCCCAATGGTGTCAGGGGTCAGGGTCATTGTGAGGGGCAGGGCCTCAGTCAGAGTACCTATGAGCAGCTTTGTATGTTTCCTGTAGAAAGAGAAGTTGTCCTGGAGCGGAGTAACA